CCTGCAGGGGGCCGGGAGGCCGAGGGGCAGGGGCCCTTCCAGCTGCAGCTGGGTGGGCGGCGTCTGGTTGCTCAGCTTTGGCGCAAGGACCTGCTCCTGGCCAGCCACCTCCCTGTGTTCACCTATGAGCGGGGTGGGCTGGTGAGGAGCCAGCCCTTCATCCCAGCCCACTGCTACTACGAGGGCTATGTGGAGGGCGCCCCAGAGTCACTGGTGGTGCTGAGCACCTGCTCCGGGGGGCTGCGAGGGCTGCTGCGCATCGAGGGGACGAGCTACGGGATCGAGCCCGTCAAGGCCTCGTCCACTTTCCAGCACCTCCTCTATCAGATGAGGGAAGTGGAGGGCAGGCCTGCCTCATGTGGGGTAACTGCTGAGGAGCTGCAACATCTAGAAACCAAGACCCAGGACATGGCACCCACTCGGGTAGCTGGACGTCGCAAATGGACCCATGCCACGTATATTGAGTTCTGTGTGGTGGTGGAGAAAGAGCAGTTCATCCTTCACAGAAGGAATGAAAGCTACCTGACCAGCCAGGTCCTTGAAGTAATCAATATGGTGGACTCATTTTATCGTGCTATGGGAGCGCATGTTGTCCTGGTTGGACTAGAGATCTGGACAGAAAACAATCTCATCACACTACCTAATGATATAGGCAATGCCCTTACTGAATTTAACCAGTGGCGGACTGACGTACTCTATCGTCGCCTTCAGCATGATGCTGGACAGCTATTTATGGCTAAAACATACAGAGGGCGTGCTGGGCGGGCGTATGTAGGAGGTATCTGCCTTGTGACAGATGCAGCATCTGTTGTCACATGGCGTTTTGCTTCTGTGCCATTTTTTTCAGTCACTGTTGCACATGAGTTGGGACATAATCTTGGCATGTATCATGACTATGCTAAATGTCATTGTAAAAGAACTGTTGGTTGCATCATGGCTGCTGTACATGTAACTACAGATGAATTCAGTGACTGCAGTCATGAAGTATATTATAATCTCCTTCGTGATGGTGCTGGATTCTGCTTATATAACATCCCAGCACCCAGCAAAACTTTTATGATGCAGCACTGTGGTAACAAGGTGGTGGAAAGGAAAGAGGAATGTGACTGTGGGTCAGAACTGGAATGCAAAAAAGACCCATGTTGTCAGTCCACATGCAAACTGAAACCACATGCAGTTTGTGCTTTTGGAAAGTGCTGTAAAAAGTGTCAGATTCTTGCTAAAGGAAAACTATGTAGAGCAGCTGTTGATGAATGTGATCTTCCTGAGTATTGCAACGGGACTTCAGAGTTGTGCCAAGACGATGTGCATGTACAAGATGGCACTCCATGCAGAGACATGGGCTACTGTTATCATGGACGCTGCCGTAACCACAATAAACAGTGTGCCGACATCTTTGGAAGAGGTGCACAAAAAGCTCCTTTAAGTTGTTTCAGTAACCTGAACACTCGAGGTGACCGGTTTGGCAATTGTGGTGGTGAAACTGGAGCAAATTACAAAAGATGTAAAACCAATGATGTCTTATGTGGAAGGATTCAGTGTAAAAATGTAAAAAAATTACCTTCTTTGAAGGAACATAGTACTGTTGTACAAACTCCGATAGGTGATATCTGGTGCTGGGGTACAGACCATCATTCTGGGATTGATGTAGTTGATACTGGAGCAGTGAAAGATGGCACATTTTGTGGTAATGGGAAAATTTGCCTCAACAGGACATGTGCAAGTGTGTCGAATTTGAATTTTGATTGTGATGCTAAGAAAAAATGCAACAGTAGGGGAGTATGTACCAGTACTAAAAATTGCCACTGTAAATATGGGTGGGCCCCTCCAGACTGTAAATTGCCAGGATATGGAGGAAGCATTGACAGTGGACCTGCTCCAATGTCTAAGCCTATGATAAATATAAGGAGCAGAAGTCCGGGTAATATAATTTGGATAGTTATTGGCATTAGTATTGTTATTGTTCCTAGCATTGTTGCAGTACTTATAAAAATTGGATGGATGAAATTATTTGGAAGGCTAGATGCCACACAGAGAAAACAAACTGCTGCAGTGTCTGATAATGATAGACAGAGCCTCCAAACAAAAGGCAGCATTAAGTCAAAAAAGTAAGACACAACAATTTTTCTAAGGAGGGCAACAAATTTAAAAGTCAAAGGTTTAGAGCTTGTTATGTTAGCAGTCGCTGAAAGAATCTATCCCAGGGTACGTCTAGACTGCCGGGGGTTTTCAGGATTCCAGAGGTATCTGCCAAAAAACTCTGCCACATCCAGGGAAGCATTTGCTCTTCCCCTTTCTTTTGTGGAAGAACAGATGCACTCTTTTGGAAGCCCTGTCTTCCTCGTTCCACAAGGAAGAAGATATCTTCCGAAAGAGGAGGTTTTCTGAAATTTGGCCCAGTGTAGATGGCAAAGGTCATAAAAGCCTCTTCCGAAAAAAGTATTGGGAAAAGGTATGCAAATTGCAGAGCGCAATTTGCGTACCTTTTTCCAAAAACCATCATAGTGTAGACATAGCTCCAGTCTATTTTAAGGTATTGTTCACTTGGCATTGCCAGATCCCAAATATAAGGTGCTGTAGTTAAATAATAAAAAATGTAGCATTTTGGACTTGTGAGAATCTCTTAAAAACAAGTAAATAAAAATGGGCTTTTATTCTTTTTAAATAGAAATGGAAAACATTTTGTTTTCTTCAGAAAGATCTTGTGAGTGATGACATTTCCCCCAATGTCCAGTCCTTTGGCCATTATATGAGATGATACTCTAGTAATACTCTACTATGTAGTGTTTATACAGCTGAATTGCAGACATATTAAAAGTGCACACAGCAAATGAGCAGTTTCTCTTCCAGCCAGCTTCCTAGTGGTATACTGATATAATTTGGTTGGGTCTCTGGGATTTTGTAGTTCCCTAAACTTCACTTTAAATCATTAATCCTCCTTGGAAAGTTAGTAAAGATACTGGGGCCTAAAAGAGACAGCAGGATTCCTTAAGGAGGCATAATAGAATCATAGGACTGGAAGGGACCTCGAGAGGTCGAGTCCAGCCCCCCGCCCTCAAAGCAGGACCAAGCTCCGTCTACACCATCCCTGACAGATGTCTATCTAACCTGTTCTTAAATATCTCCAGAGGGAGATTCCACCACCTCCCTTGGCAATTTATTCCAATATTTGACCACCCTGACAGTTAGGAATTTTTTCCTAATGTCCAATCTAAACCTCCCCTGCTGCACTTTAAGCCCATTACTCCTTGTCCTGTCCTCAGAAACCAAGAGGAACAAATTTTCGCCTTCCTCCTTGTGACACCCTTTTAGATATTTGAAAACCACTATCATGTCCCCCCTTAATCTTCGTTTTTCCAAACTAAACAAGCCCAGTTCATGAAGCCTGGCTTCATAGGCTTCTCTAGACCTTTAATCATTCTTGTCGCTCTTCTCTGTACCCTTTCCAATTTCTCCACATCTTTCTTGAAATGTGGCGCCCAGAACTGGACACAGTACTCCAGCTGAGGCCTAACTAGTACAGAGTAGAGCGGCAGAATGACTTCACGAGTTTTGCTTACAACACACCTGTTGATACAACCTAGAATCATATTTGCTTTTTTTGCAACAGCATCACACTGTTGACTCATATTCAACTTGTGGTCCACTATGACCCCTAGATCCCTTTCCGCCATGCTCCTTCCTAGACAGTCGCTTCCCATCTTGTATGTATGGAACTGATTGTTCCTTCCTAAGTGGAGCACTCTGCATTTCTCCTTATTAAACCTCATCCTGTTTACCTCTGACCATTTCTCTAACTTGCTAAGGTCATTTTGAATTATGTCCCTATCCTCCAAAGAAGTTGCAACCCCACCCAGTTTGGTATCATCTGCAAACTTAATAAGCGTACTCTCTATCCCAATATCTACATCATTGATGAAGATATTGAACAGTACGGGTCCCAAAACAGACCCTTGAGGAACTCCACTTGTTATCCCTTTCCAGCAGGATTTAGAACCGTTAACAACAACTCTCTGACTACGGTTATCCAGCCAATTATGCACCCACCTTATCGTGGCCCTATCTAAGTTATATTTGCCTAGTTTATCAATAAGAATATCATGCGAGACCGTATCAAATGCCTTACTAAAGTCTAGGTATATGACATCCACCGCTTCTCCCTTATCCACAAGGCTCGTTATCCTATCAAAGAAAGCTATCAGATTAGTTTGGCATGACTTGTTCTTCACAAACCCATGCTGGCTATTCCCTATCACTTTATTACCTTCCAAGTGTTTGCATATGATTTCCTTAATTACCTGCTCCATTATCTTCCCTGGGACAGACGTTAAACTGACCGGTCTATAATTTCCTGGGTTGTTCTTATTCCCCTTTTTATAGATGGGCACAATATTTGCCCTTTTCCAGTCTTCTGGAATCTCCCCTGTCTGCCATGATTTTTCAAAGATCATAGCTAAAGGCTCAGATACCTCCTCTATCAGCTCCTTGAGTATCCTGGGATGCATTTCATCAGGACCTGGTGACTTGCTGACATCTAACTTTCCTAAGTGATTTTTAACTTGTTCTTTGTGTATCCTATCTTCTAAACTTACCCTCTCTCTGCTTGTATTCACTACGTTAGGCACACCTCCAGACTTCTCGGTGAAGACCGAAACAAAGAAGTCATTGAGCATCTCCGCCATTTCCAAGTTCCCTGTTACTGCTTCTCCCTCCTCACTAAGCAGTGGGCCTACCCTGTCCTTGGTCTTCCTCTTGCTTTTAATGTATTTATAAAAGGTCTTCTTGTTTCCCTTTATGCCTGTAGCTAGTTTGATCTCATTTTGTGCCTTTGCCTTTCTAATCTTGCCCCTGCATTCCCGTGTTGCTTGCCTATATTCATCCTTTGTTAGTTGTCCTAGTTTCCATTTTTTATATGACTCCTTTTTTATTTTGAGATCATGCAAGATCTCCTTGTTAAGCCAAGTCTAGATTGGCATAGTTTTGTGGAAATACTTTTAACACAAAAGTTTTTCCGTTAAAAGTATTTCCGCAAAAGAGCATCTAGATTGGCAAGGATTGCTTTTGCGCAAAAAGTGCTTTTGCGCAAAAGCATCCGTGCCAATCTAGACATGCTGTTGCGCAAGAAAGCTCCGATGGCCGTTTTTGGCTTTCTTGCGCAAAAAATTAAGGTGCCTGCCTATACTGGCCCTCTTGCGCAAGTATGTTTGTGCAAGAGGGCTTATCCCTGAGCGGGAACGTCGGAGTATTTGCACAAGTAGCACTGATTTTGTATAGTACAAAGTCAGTGTTCTTGCACAAATACTCGCGTCCAGTGTACACAAAGAAAGAAGAGCATCCCTATGAAAATACCTGCATGTGTTATCCGCAACCAAAGCTGCTTCCTTGCTCCCACTCTGACAAACTAGCAGCATACCCTTCTTCTATGCTGGTGATGTGCAACTTCCCCTGCTATTTGTTGTGAATGACTTTATATTACAATATTTTAATAAATAGTTTTTCTTGCACCTACACTCCTACTCTGGTTCATAAATATATTATGAAAGCCAGCTTTTAAATGACAAAATACTCAAAATTCTATATGCATGGAATGTAAAATTGTTGCAATGCAGAGAAAAAAGTTTTAGAATGAACAAATTCTTACAAGTGCTGATAGGAAATTTACTTTATGGAAGAAACATAGTACTGTGATGCAATTTCTCAACTGTATGAATCTCGGTTTTAAAAAAGAACAACCTGACACGCATTTTAAAAGTACATTACTGCTTATGGGGCATAGTTTAAAAGGCAGAGTACTGCTGTCATTTTTTGCATATATAAAGATCTAATTTATTTGCTAATAATTATTTAAATAAACACAAATTAAAAATGCAACAGAAAGCTTTTATCTCCCCTGAATTGTTAAAAGCAAATAGAGAAGTATTTCACACAAGCTTTCATAAACAAGCAAGATTACCATTGGCTTTTGCAAACCAGCAAACTAACGGCATAGCCTCAACATGACAAACAGTGTGGCTTACTACATGGCTCCGTCGATGGAGCCATGTAAATTAGTTTATTTGGCAGAGTCAAAGAAGCGAGGATTTAAATAATCCCTGCTTCATTAAAATAAACATGGCCGCCACACTGTGCCAACGATCAGCTGATCCAATACAGCGCTGCAGTCTAGACGCAGATCTGTCGGCTGGGGAAGCCTTTGCCGACCGATCCTGTAAATCTTCTATATTAAATAATAAAAACAAATATTTAAAAAAGCAGAACTAATTTTAGCAAGAACAAAAAATGACCACAAGGATTTAAATGTGATGTTTGGTATTTTCCCAGTAAAAGTCCAAAGCTTTTTTTTTTTTTTTAGTAAAGTTTTTAAAAAGCATTTTTATTGATTGTTGTCCTACAAGGTCACTGATGTCTAATTCCTGCAGACCTGTACCCAGTAAAAGGAGAAATGGAAACATTTATACAACATTAGAATGATGTGAAAAAATATAAAATATATTTAAAAACCTGAACAAAATTCAGTTACCCTGTTAAACATCTGGCTATTTACAGTAAAGTTTTTTAATTTGTTAAAAAATTAGCAGTATTTTTACCTATGTTAAATAAGACTTCATTCAATTTACAAAGATAACAGTATGCTCATTACTGTTTCATCAGTTGACTTATAAATTAATTCACCATGTGCCAAAAACTTCCAAGGCTGGGGATCCTCAAATTACTTTATACAAAACTGTTGCTCTTCTAATATATTTTTAAGTGTAATTGTTACATGGATACCTTATGAACATTACATTTATTTACAAACCTCTGACATATTAAAGTGTATATTACAGCATGCAGCCCCTCCAAAAATGGAGTGAAAATGTTACAAGCAGAAAGCCTTTCTATTATTAGTTTTTACCTCATTTTTTGTGCTAACATTTATTCAACCCTGCTGAATGAGCAGCTTTGTCTTAAAAGGATTAACATATTTATAATACATACAATGTGCAAACCATAATACATAGCTACAGAAAAGATGCATTGAAAATTATTGCCTGTTTTACAAGTGCATTTTGGTCAGACAACATTAAGAGGTTGTTTCTCCTGTGAAATTCCAAGGCAAAATTGGGCCAGTGATGCTTAAAGTGCAGTCATGACAGGCACTCTCTAAGACAGAGAACATGTTCAGCAGCCCTAATGGGAACTCCTATCATTCCCTTTCCCACCATCACGTGCACTATGGAGTCTCCAATCAGGAGGTCAAATGACGATTTAGAATAACAAGACAAAGTCGACAAAACATTAGTCACTATTGGATAAATTCCGGCAATCCCTCCTCTCATTGACGAGTGTGCACTCAGAGTGGCTAGCCCATCCTGCTGCTGGGACTACGTTCTTTTTTTTTTTTTATAACAACTATGCTAGATCAACAGGAACTAGCCTAAGTCCCCTTAAGCTGTGAATCACACCTCAGCTAGAAGAGAAGACATACTGTAACACTAATCTGTTCTGGGAATGGAGGCCGGAACTTTGAAAACCAAGCTTCCTTCCCCTCACTTTAGAAGTTCACTACATACTTTTTGCTTTGAAAAAACCCTCCCAGCTGAACACTGAAGCAACATTGGAAGGAAACAAAAATTTGAGTTGTTTGAATATCATCAACGAAAAAGACCGAAAGAAAACTGTTCTGGGTTCACCCCCTCCAATCCTTGGAGAACACATTAGCTTTGCTAGCTGAAACAGAGGTACTTTAATCATTGCTTTTATAAAAAAAAATGTGTGTGAAATGAGAAGCCATCACTGAGCGGGAGGAAGTCCAAGAAGCTAAGGTTTTAAAGGATTAACCCAATAGGAAATCTCATGTTATAAAAACCCTTCACTGAGGTTAGATACATAGAGAGATAGATACATAGATTCCAAGGAGAAAGAGAAGACCCAACTGAAGGATACTCTTATATTACAAAAGTAGAGAACTCTGCACTCTTAACTCAGTGGAGCCTCTTTTTTCTTGGTATCCATCTTCTCTGGAGTCTATTGAGGAAGGAGTACCTTATACAGTAGGTGCTCATGGGTTCCAATTTAGGATATAGGAGGGGCTAGATAGCTCCTATTTATCCACACACATAACATCATCAGGTGTTAGGAACACAGAACTGCAACTTTCCCCTGAGGAGTGGGAAATTCCCAAATATTAGTTTGCTACTGCTGCTTGCTTGCAGGTCAACACGTTTGTGGGTGACTAGTGGTCGGCCTGTCCAGAGGAAGCTAAGGTGTCAAGGGTTTTTAAATTACCGAAAAAACAAAATGAGAGAGAGAGAGAAAGAGAGTATGTGTCTGCGTGTGTGTGAGTGAAAGTGGGGAGAGTGGGTAAAGACAAATGGAGGTGAAGCCACAGGTATGTGGAGCTGCTCTCCAGAGGCTACCGCACATTCCCAGGTAGGATTCAGTGCAGGGAAGACCTTAGCTCAGATCAGGATTCACTTAACTTTCTTACACTCTAAAACAAGAAAGAGGGGACTATCTAAAGATGTCACCTGCATTTTGTTGTGGGACCTTTAAGAGTCCATTTACCTTTCAGAGATGTTTAATTTAAAATATTCTAGATACACATAGTGAGATGCTTTTCCCCCCCACAGACCCTTCCTCCCCTCATTAATTTTACAAATCTATGATTCACAGCTACCACACTACAGCTGTAGTGGGACAACAAGCATCAAATCAAGCCACTGTTGAGGGTCCTTAGTGCAAATTCTGCAGCAAATAAAACAGATCTCAGGGATTCTACACATTTGTTTCAAGTCCAAGCAAGCGTCCCATACGTTCCATGTTCTTGTCAATTGTAGTTTGACATGTGATTTCCTTGGCGCACTCCATTGGAAACCAACCTCTCATACCATCCCGCAATCGTTCACCTTCATACCAACCTGCAAGGAAGAATGGGGATGAAACAATAAATACATGTATAAGATACCGTGTGGCATGATTACGGTGACTCCAGTACATACAGCCTGTCATTGCATCTGTAAAATGGCTATATTTACAATGAGTAAATTATAAGGCACAGACAGGCTACATTATTTGGAAACATTGAGCATGCAATTAGGAATAGTAAAAATAAGATGGCACAGATACAGTATATTTGACAGGCTTATGCCTTCTTTGGATCCCAGAAAAGTAAACAAATTAGTCTGGGAGGGGTGTGAGAGACACAGACAGACAGACACTCTTTGTGGCAGTGAACAACTGGACTAAATGAAGGATTGCATTCTGCAAGGCGCTGAGCATTCTCAAGTCCCACTGAAGCTCCTGGGAGTTGACTGCATTCAGTATCTTTGCAGGCTATGGCTTCAATGTTGTAATTAACATTTTTATTGTAGTAGCAACAACCAGGTTGGGCTCCTAAACATGACAAGCATTTCTGTAACAAATGACAGTCCCCACTTCATATGCTGGAACGTTATATCCCCGTAGAGAGCCACCCTCTACTGAAGCACAGCACAAGATGTAAATATCTTACATTTGTGCAGTAGTCAGACAAACCAGCAAATATAGAGATCTTAACCCAGTTTCTTCATTATGGACTCATAGCTCATGGGAAAAAAATTACACCCACATTGTTACACCTGCAATTAATTATCTAGTCAAATCCTCTGAGTGGGATGGAATTTACTTGAATGCGGCCACAATGTCTGCATAAACAGAGGCCATCTTTCAAGAACCTGAGCCTAAATTTATGGTTCCGATGGTGTTTTTTTTAGGCTGACACCCCATTTCTTTGTGGAGTAGATAGTATATGGAAACCTGAATTCTCTATGGCTCTCTTTCCCAGCTTAACTAATCTATCGTGGTGGTAGCTAACTGCAAAAAGACTTACTCACCATCATTCACTTTTTGATAGACCAGAACCACATCAGCAATCTGAAGGGATAGTTCATCTGACTGCTTTGCAGTGTAAGTTCTGACAATCTCTACCTGTGTCAATGCTGAGAAAGAAATAGGATATACTGAATCACATGATGCGGTACAAGAAACTGAATATCCTTCTATTTAAAACATACAAAAAAAGTCATTTTAACATCTCATTTTAGGATGTGCCAAAATAAAACAATCCAAGTAATCTCAGTCAGGCAGCACATTAACTTGCTGGTTTTCCACTTGGGGAGCTACTCACAAACAATTTGGGTCAGACATAAAATCAGCTAGCATTCTCAACCTAGCCACTCACAGGCTGGTACAACTGGTCAAACCTGTGTTAATGAATGCAAGTAAAATAACTCCTTGTACCACACCCTGAAAGAACTTCCCCAGGAAAAAACTGCATGCACAGAAGGTCAAGAAATAAGGGCTATGTTAAACCAAAAGGAATATCTCAAAGGAAAATCTGGATAATTTGTTTTTCAAAAGAAATATTTACTTTTACAGTCTGCATTTAATCAAGTTATCCACTGAGAGACAGCTGATTTCTGTTTTCAAGTCAAGTCTTGGGAAAGTCTTCTTGTCTCTCACTTACTTGTTCTGTCTGCATTCTGTCTGTCATTGTTCTGTCCAAGGGCAGTAATCCAGCGAGCTCTTTCACTCCTGCAAACAAATAAATTCAGTTTTCAAGACACCTGATCACTAGTGCTAGAGATTATACCTTATTCAGGGCCTTAGATTTAAATCTTTCCTCTTTCTCACGGGAAGAAACCAGATAAAAAAAGGACTAAAAAAAAAAAAAGTTTAGTCAAAAACATGACATCTTTTCCTGTAAACACTTCATTATTCAAGTAAAATGAAACTTATTAAATGACCAATAACAGATTGTTTAGCAGAAGTGCCATTCTAATAAAGAAGCAGAATGGTACTCTATATATTTGGAAACAGTCTTAAGAAAGTTACCCAAACAGTGTGGGCTCTTGTGCAATTTTCATTATTTTAGTTATGTATCATTAAAGTAAGCTTTATCTTAGTATTTGTAACTAATGGCCTCAATGTTAATTACTAGTCTAACAACACAGGTCACAGAAATGGGTAGTAAGCAGACACAAATACTTCAGTTTTCCTGTACCTAGGACACGGCTGGATGTATATTTGGAAAGGAAAAGAAGTTCCTTACAAAAATCAAACGTGCTCTGACAGGGCCAAGTTCTGTCATTGGAGGTGCTCATTTGGGAAGTCAGAATATGCCATAAGCATCCCAGAGAAGAACTGTGCTACAAATTAATCATTTGAACTTAACCTTGGATAAGAAGGAACATAATTGATTTCAGCTAGAATATCTCAATATTTCTGAAGAGATGGGCAGAGAAATAATTATCAATAGGACACATTCTAAGCATCACACAGTTCTCCTCAAAGAACAAATTGTTAACTGAACAATTTTTGAAGGGTGACAGGAGTGAGATGGGGCTAAAAGAGAGGTAATGGATAGGAGATGAAGAAAAATGGTAAGAGTATTTAAGAGATACCCAATCAACAGCTGACTCACAATAATGTAATCGAAATGGATTCGGGTTTTGACAAACTGAGATCTGAAATTGACACATTATCGCTTCATACAGTTCAACATGTGTGTGTTTCATCCCAGTTAAACTAATCCATTTGACTTGTTAAAAGGGTTCTCACATGCAGAGAAATGGCACCCATTTGCCTCAATGGGAGAGGGGGCACTTGATAAGGTTCACAGTGAAAGGCAAGTCCCAGCAACTAGCAAGAAACCCCTTGCTGAGGGACATCAGGTAGCTCCTCCCTGCCAGAGTCTCTCTCAATCATTGGCAAGCTAACTGGAGAGGGGTACTGATTGGCCAGCACTCCCCAGCTCCCAGGATTTATCTGGGGAGAGGGCAACGTGGAGCTTCTTTTGGCTTAGACCCAGCAGCCCACTTTGGTCTAGGAGAGTATGGATGATGGCAGGTAGCACTGTGTTTCCATACTAAAGTTTAATAGACATTGCAAGCTGAGCCTCCCAGTTTATTCCATTCATGTATCTGTCCTCATTTCGCTGCTGTCTGCCTCAATGAATCTCAGTAGAAGGTGAGAGTGCTTTTAAAATCTAAAATCAAAATTACTTTTGAAAACAGTTACTTGTACATGAAAAAGATCAAAAGCTTTTACATCCCATGTTTTAAATGAACCAATACGTGCATGAAACTGGCAACGTGCTCAGACTAATACAAGCGTCAACTAATACAGTATTTTCAGAGTATCAAAAACCGTTTACACTGGAGCAAGAAAGCAAGAGAACTGAAAAACAGAAGAGTAAGGGCAGTTTGAATTGGTCACCAGAAAAGAGAATGTCACCTTGAAATCTCATCTTTTTTCCTTCCAGTCTTTTTAAATGCTACTGCTAAAAACATCTTCTAACATTCTAAAATTCAGAGTAAAGATAGTGATGATGAAACATAATTCCTGGATGCGAACTTGGAGGTGTTTGGAACCTAAGCCTTACAGTTGGTTCCCCTTTCAATTGTTCTGCAAACATCTCCAAATTCTGGGGCTTAACAATTGCTAATACGAACCAGAGCCCCAAGATTCAGTTTTGATTTGGGACCCCATTCTGTCACTGCTTGCATTTTGGTGATGATGGTTTCCAGATCCCCATCTTGCTGCCTGTACCCCTCCCAAACTTCTCAATTGAGCACTACTTTGTGCTACTACAATCATGCCATATTCTAGGCATGGCTATTCTCTCCACATGTGCAAATTCCCCCTTTAGAACAACTTGTCCCACAAGGCCTTTCCATTATACCCTCCTAACAGGATGCTAGCTCGAATCAAGTGGCAGTTACACAGTAAAAATCTAACACTATTGTACTCCCCCTTATAAAGCACTAGAAGATTTACCGGGTGTTTCTCAGATCCATAAATAGTTGGGTTTTTTTTTTTAAAGAAAATTAAAATGTACATGCTTAACTGGATCCATAAATAGTTGGGGTTTTTTTTAAAGAAAATTAAAATGTACATGCTTAACTTAAATTGTTGCTCTGAGGTGGGGCTAAGGATGAGGGGTTCAGTATGCACATTGCCCCAGGGAGACAGGACTAGCTAAGGGCACCATTTCGGGAGAGCAGTCATGAGTACCAGGATGCGGCTTGCTTTTCTTCCAATTCCCCTGACTATCAGGGAGTGAGGGGAAAGTACTTGTATTTCGTGAATTACTCCTCTGACCTCTCCCCTCACCAGCTAGGAATCAGAGGCACAGAATTCAAGTACTTTTCCCTTGCTCCCTGATAGTTTGGGGCCAGGTGAGAAATGCCTCTCCATGGCCACTGTAGCTGCAATGGACCTTACTGTGGGAAGGGTGCATGTTCCCTGGCAGGGTCCAGTCCAGTTTGGTATGCCCCCTGTGCTCTCCAACCAGAGTGAGGAATGCAGCAAACTGTGCACTTTCCCCTCACTACCCTAATGAAGGGGAACAGCTAGCAATAGTCCCGTAGGAATCTGGGGAAGGGGAGACGCTTGAACCCCCCCAAAGAAGGTTGGGGGGTGGGAGGCTCAGAGCTAGAGATGTAAAATCCTGTTTAATTGGTTAATCGGTTAAACGTGATGGTTAACCAGTTAACCAATTAACTTGGACGTGGGCAGGGAGACCCATTCCAGCCCAGCCAACTGGAGCACTCTGCCTTGCCTGCTATATCTAGCCAGGAGTGCCCCTCCCCACTAGCCACAGACCTGACATGCTCCAGCCTTCATGGGTTAACTTTTCACACCCTTAGCTAGGTAGTCCCAGGTAAGGATGTGAATGTATAACCAGTTAACCAATAATTCTCACCCTTAATGGGTTAACTGCTGGGGGCTGGAGCAGCTCCTGCTACAGCCCCACGGGGGAGATGGGCGCACCACACACAGGAGCTGCTCTGGCCGGGCTGAAGCAGCCCCTGTCTGAAGTGAGCCCAGGCTCCCCACAAGCAGGGGCTGTTCCAACTGAGATGCCAGTGCACCTCCTGCCTGCAGCAGGGAGGCAGGGGGATGTGCTACAGCCCAGCAGCCCCCCTGCCCACCCTACCCTTTAATCAGTTAACCGATTAAACAATATGTTTAACCGGTTAGCCAATTAAATTGGATTTTACATCCCTGGTCCTGTAAAGGAGGGACACTTTCACCTGGCTCTCTTTTCTGTATAGTTTTATGAGAAGCAGTCCCATTCCAGGCACATCCCATTTTTCTGGCACAACCAAACCCTCATCTTGCTTCAAGTTATAGTAAGAGGAAGCTGTATACCAAATTTGGTGGTCCTAGTTCTTACCATTTAGGACAGACAAACACTGAGACACACACTCTTAAGTATACAATAGATTGGTTATACTATCTTTGGGGCATAGTGTTTAGATTATTTTACTTAAAGAAAACATTGATTAAGAACACAGAATAGGAAAACAAAGAGGATTCATGGAATATGGAGTTGTACATAAATTGTCAGGATTCTTCAGCTTTGAAAGAGGATTCTTCAAGGACAACATGATTTACTTGAAGGTTATTACATCCTGATTATTAATTAATCCTGATGATTAGTGGTTGCCAGGCACACCAGAATAGGGGACAAAGGATAAGTTAAGAGAATTTAACCAAACATTAGATATTATATTAAATAGTATATTAATACTGTATATTAAATTCAGCAAGTTAATGGGATGTTAGTAGGGTTAGTTGAAAATTTTCTGATGACACTATTTTTGATGAAAAATTGGATTTTTGCCTAAAAAAATATTTAGTGAAAAATGTCAGTGGAAAACCGAACAATTTTGATTAGGAAATGCTGCCATTGTGCCTTGTAGGATTTATAGTTTCCGTACTTCGTACCCTCATTCTGCTCTATGGGCCAAATTCAATGTGAAACTCCAACTGTCATGGTGCACCATGACAATGGAAATCTCAGGAGGCACAAGAATGTCTCATCAAGAGAGGAATGAAGACTGATGTGGAGCCTGTCCCATAAGGAAGAAGAGTCTGAGGCAGGCATCTGAATTACAACTGCCATGAGGCACTCTAGCAGCATTTCAAATCAAGTTTTTGGTTTTCAGTTAAAGGTCTGGGGGCATGATTATTTATTTATTTGTTTATTTATTGCAAATAAGTAGATTACTTCCGTGGTTTCCTGTTCCCTACCACTCCACTTTTCCCACCAGCTCTTAAATGCACTTGTTGGCGGAAAAGATAATGTCATGGAACCTTTTCCCCCCCACCCCCCCATGTAGGCTTTAGGCCATTTTGCAGGGGAATATTTTTATTGTCCTCTGGAATACAGAAATAATTTTAACATTTTAAAAAGTGAATGCATCACAAATACTCCTTCCTTCTCTATATATGAATGGCTATCAGCTTGCTTGTTATCCTCCATAAACAAGTTAGTAAGTGCTGATTACATACCAACAACTAAAACAAAAGTGAGAGAAAGATCACTAGCTGCAAGATGAGTATCCGGTCTAGGAATACCGAATCTTTGCTTCATCATTTGAAATTCTGTACTCTAGGCCTGGTTGTCCACTAACTTCTGTAGTCATTTACAGCTATGCAAAGGAGTGAAAAACTCTACCATTCTGATTTGGTAGCATTTTACACCCACTTTGCACTGGTGTGAACAATAATACAAAGTATAGGAC